GTAAGATAAGACCACATTGAAATACTTAATTTATGAAAATGGGTTAATTTAGACAGAGCTAGCCAATAAGAAGTCTTAGTCACTGGCCAACAGATTTATAATTAATATAGTGTCTCATGTGTTATTTGGGGGCTGAAGCGGTGGTAGCGGAACCCAGATGGCTGGTGGAAAAGAGTACATATAACATTAGACATCTTATCCATTTTAAATATTTTATTTTTATGTGTATGAGTGTTTTGCCTGCATCAAAGTGTGCCACATGCATGCAGTACCCCCAGAGGCCAGAAGAGGACACTGGATCTTCTGGAGGTGGAATGACAGACAATTGTGAGCCGTCGCATAGGTGCTGGGAACATAACCAGTAAGAACAGCCAGTACGGTCAGCTGCTGAGTCATCTTGTCAGCCTCCCCTTACCTGTTTTAAGTGTACAGTTATAGGTATTGTCCACGCTTACACTGTTGAATAACTCTCACCACCATCCACCTTCTGAAATCTTCCATCTTCTCTATTTGAAGTTCCATGCCCATTAACTCATAGTACCTCTGCTCCTTCCTCGCAGCTCCTGGCAAACACCACCTGCTTTCTGTCTCTGCAAATGTGAGTCACACCATGTTAGTCATTTTGTGATGAGCTTATTTCACTTGGCATAGAGTTTGCAAGGCTTATCTGTGTCACAACACAAAGCACCATGTATCTTTAAAGCTGAATAATATCCCACTGTGTGTCCAGATCATACTTTGTCTATCCATTCATAGTCATTTGTGGGGTTTCCAGATTTGGGTACTGTGAAATAATGTTGGTATGAATATTGATGCGCAGATACTCTCTTTGGACTCCTCTCATTGTGTGTGTGTGTGTGTGTGTGTGTGTGTGTGTACACCTAGAAGTGGAATTGCTTGGTCTTATGGTAATTATATTTTTATTTTTTGAGTAATTATTATGCTGTTCTCCACAAAGGCAACACCATTTCATATTCTTGGTGGCAATGCACACATGGTCATCTTACATTTTACAAAATAGCATCATACTATTAATTTATTGATTTCATTTGGAATAGTATTTTTCTTTACAATTAAAATTATAGGGCTGGAGAGATGGCTCAGAGGTTAAGAGCACTGGCTGTTCTTCCAGAGGTCCTGAATTGAAGTCCCAGCAACCATACGGTGGCTTACAACCATCTGTAATGAGATTTGGTGCTCTCTTCTGGCCTGCAGGCAGAACACTGTATAATAAATAAAAAAAATCTTTAAAAAAGTAAGATTACATTTACTTATTTGTGTATGTCTATTCATTTATGGGGGTGGGGCATGTGCCATGGCCTGCATACAGAGGTCAGAGAACAGCTTTCAGGAGTTGCTTCTCAGCTGGACATGGACCTCCATGTTGAGCTGTTTTTGGGGGGTTCTAGGAGGGTCACCTGGGGTAGAGGCTACAAAAATCTGCAGCCTGTGGACAGGCTACCGGCTGGATGAGGTCCTCTAATGACAATTCCAGGCTTGTCCACCTGTCTTCACCAGATGTCACCTTTCTGTGTGAAATGTAGGCAGAACCTTCCCAGCAGTCTTTTGTGATTCACCTTCGGCTGATTAAGTATCTTAACTGCAGTCAGCTGTTTGCTTCTTTGCATGATTCCCCAGAAACCACACCATGAACACTTTAGCATGTGGCTGTCCCTGGCTCTGACCTGAGTGTGCTGTCTATTTCTAGGGAGACAGAGCTGCCTCCACCCCCTATCCTGCCTCTTTTGAACTTTGCACTCACCATGATGAAAAATTAACTGGGCTAATGTTTCCCTCCCAAGGACAAGGACAAAGTCTGCAAGGCAAGTCTGGCTGGGTCCCAGGAGACTAGGTGCCAGCTGAAGTTATAACCAATCCTGAGCCAGCTACCACCTAGTCACTGTCCACTGTAGAGGGGTCTATTCCTCCCCCATGTTCAGAGCTTTGTGTAACTGGCCTCGTGCCCCCAAATGTTCTCACAGGGACACTTGAGGAAAAAAAATTCCAATGCTCAGGAGGCAGAGGCAGGCAGAACTCTGAATTCAAGGACAGCTTCGTCTATAGAATGAGTCCCAGGATAGCCAGTGCTACCCTGTCTTGAAAATGAGAGAGAGAGAGAGAGAGAGAGAGAGAGAGAGAGGGAGAGAGAGAGAGAGAGAGAGAGAGAGAGAGAGAGAGAGAGAGAGAGAGAGAGAGAGGGAGAGAGGGAGGGAAATGGCACTCTCAGATCTGCAGGTGGGTCCAGAAGTTTTCTTGCAACCCAGGTGGCCCTTATCACACTGATGCTGACACAGGAAGGGAGTCCAGGAAATCGTTATTGAGTCACACAAATGGATCTGCCTTATTTCTTTCCCTCAGGGAAATGAAGGGGAGGATGATGGTCCCTTCTGGAGCCTCGGAGATGTAAAGGTTCTTCTACTGACTCCTCTTCCCCCCTTCTCTCCTCAGCTTTTCTCTTTCCTTAGTCTCAGCTTCCCCTGTGGGCGAGGGACTTGTCCTAGAGAACAACCCTGATGCTTCTAATGTTCTTTCTAGATCCACCATGCTTATGTACAGGTGAGACGAGTCTCAGCAAGGTGAAGGGTCAAGAGCCAACACTCAAAATAGATCAGGGATGGAGCCTGAGCACCTTGGACTTGGCCTGGCTGCCTCACAAAGGCTGGACTGACTGGGTTTGGTGTCTGGGTTAAAATTAACTTTTAACTGGAAGATGATGGTTACATAGGTCCCTTTCTGTCCTCTGTCCACCTAAGCACACCTTCATCCCTATCTCTTTGGTGCTTCTCTGGGCTGTTTCTTGTGGTTAGGGACCTTCCTCTTTCACTGTGGATTTCCCAACAAGAAGCATACATGGAAGTGCTGGAGAGAAAGAAGCAGGATTTGACTGAGCTCAGATCCCCTGGCTACCCTTCTTCATGCACTGGCCTCTGGGGTGGGTCCGCTCCTGTTTAGCACTGGACTGTTGGAAAGTCCCAACACCCTAGGAGTTGGGGAGGAATGAGCCCAAGGACATTTCTGGCAAGCTTGTTATGCACCTGTGAGAAGAGCTTTTGTTTTGCAAATTGTGTCAAAGCTGCCCTTTGCGAGGCTAGGCCCAGGAGCAATACCTCAAAAACAAAAGCAAAACAAAACAAAAACCTGGGTTTAAATCCTGGCTCTGTTCCTTGGGGTCATGCCTCCCAGGCAAATATGGGCGTGGACTTTGAGGGCAGCAATTAGACTGTCTTAGGTTGAAGACAGCAGTTAAGACCGCCTCCATTTCAGTCTCTTGGTAAGGGCTGGGAAGCCGAGTGGAAGGGGAGGCTACAGCCACACTCCAACAGGAGTGCAGGCCCTAGCTTGTTAGGGTCCACTGGGCCTCAAGAATCAATCCTCCTCCTTTCAGGACTTGGCTTCAGGGAGGTGGAAGGAGACACCTAGGAAACCACAGCCTCTTGACAAGCTGTGGCTGGCGATGGGGCATCCTCGGTGACAGAGCTGGGGGCCCCTGAAGCTTCTGGGCTGACTTTGTGGGACTGGCCACACTTCATAGGTCTTTGTAACTCCCACCGGCTCTTGGTTTGCAAATAACTTCTTTCTCACCACCGTCGGTGGTGGTGGGGTTTCCCACTGTTTAAAACAAGCATAGTCCTATACCTACTGAGTTAACCCGATGGGATTGCAGCCGCAGGGTAAAGGAGCTGAGAGCCTGCTGTAACGCCTCCAAGCCCGTGAAAGGACCATGGGCAGCCAGCCCCGAATTCCGATAGTTGGGCCCCAGGGCTACCCAAAGTCAGGTTCTCTTGGTGTCCTACCTAGGCTAACTTTGAGTAAACTTCGTTCCACTTTGTATGTGCGAGTTCACTGCTTTGTAAACAAAGCTCTCTTGCTTGTTTGGCGTCGAATTTCAGTAACACCCAGCAATGTTAATTCTTCCCCTCCCCCAAAGATAAATCCTAAAGCGCTCCCATTCATTCCTTAAGGAATGCAACAGATGTCTTTGAGGCCCGTTTTCTGCAAAGAGCTTGGTTCACTAGGCCCAAGGGACCCCAGGCTCCAGCTATTGTTCAAGTTGTCACTGAGGTCTCTAACTCCACTTTTAAGTCTCCCTCTCCCCCTTCCCAACTCCCTCCTCCGCAGTCTCCGGGCAGTCAGTCGGTCTGATCTCACCCAGCGGGAAAACAAAAACAAAACAAAACAAAAAACACCAAACCAAAGGAAAACAGCCGGGGCCAGTGAGCGAGATCAGTGCTCCCCGGCTTCCTGGGCTTGGAACTGAACCCCTCTTCTTGTCCCAGTACTCTCCAGGGAGCAGCGAACCCTAGGGGTCCCGCGCCTGTTCCGGCGAGTCTAACACTCTCTAGTCCCTGCAACTGCATCTGAGCGTCTTGAGGGCGGC